CATCGTACAAGCAACGGACATCATCGAAGTACATTTAGCTAGAGTAAATTCTTGAGGCAAGGGAGTACAAAGATGGTGTAGAATGAGCAATGAGTTTCAAGCAAATTTCGGGGACGAAATTTTTATAAGGGTGGAGGAAATGTAACACCCCGAATTTTGGGTTCAGGTTCGACCAAAATACATGAACGGTTGGATTAACGGTTACGTACTAAGGATTGCAACCGCGGATTAGGAATAATAATAATAATAACTATTATTATTATTATTAAAAAAGAGAAAAAAAAGGCACGGGCCAAGAGGGCGCTCGGCCCTCATTGTTTTCCCATCACCACCCCCACGCCAAGAACCCATCCGGATTCACTAATTGAACAACCCCAACCCTAATCTCAAGCTTCACTCGGCACGTTCAGATTTATGAAAAGGAAAAGAAAGAGCCTCTAGCGGCAGCACTAGGAGAGAGAGAAAGGGGGAGTACGATGGATACCTAGCGCAATGATGATGCTCCGATAAGGGACTGAGATGGCCTTCATGCTGGCGGCCTCCACTCAAAGGGAGTGGGTTTACTCGACGAGGCCACGGTGAGTTGGTTCTTTCCCTGTGATGTGCGTAAGGGTTATGGGTGTCATCAGTGGGTAAAGGAAGCAGGAGCGGATGAATCCTTCATTGCAAAAATCATGAGCATGACATGGGAATGGGTAATTGTTATGTATTGGTGCAAGGGCGGTGTCTTTTTATCTGATAGTGGAAGCGTAAATCACATGAGAATATTTGCTTAAATGGTGTACGGTTGGTCCGAGTAATTCAAATTGACAAGGTGAGTGTAAAGGGGGTAAATTCTACGCCTTACGTATTCTTTTAAGTATTATGTTTCAAGTATTTTAGCGAATTGGTTATCGTTGCTTGGTTATGTGTATGATTGATTATTTGTGCCTTGCTTGAGTTATGGTTTGAGATGATCTTGTGATATTTGAGGTGATTTTGTTTGAGCTATGCTTGAAGTGAATGTTTATAAATTACTTTGAAATTTTTACGAGTATAAGTTATTATTAAAGAGTAAGAAACAAGTTCTTTTAAAGAAGTAATTTACCTTCAAGAATGTGAAGTCGTTTTAAGTGTTTTTAGTCGCTAGCGCCAGTCCGTTGCCATTTGAGATTTTCAGATAGAGCAGCACTTATGCTCTTGAGATCTTTGAGACAGACCAGCAGTTATGCTCTTGAGATATTTAAGATGAACAGCAGTTATGCTCTTGAGAATCGTGGTGAAGAGCCACCACGATAAGTTTAAGATGTTAGGGTGATGAATCGTTACGACTTCCCTAACTAAGTTTAAGTTTAAGGAAAGCTTTGATGGCTTCTCATACGTATGAGTTGGCAACCAGACTAGCTAGTCAAGGATCCCAGTGTCAGTCAAGTATTTAAGTCGAGATTTGAGTTTTAAGAGAGGAGAGTAACTTCAACTCCCTCAAAGTTTAAGAGTTAAGATTTTAAGATTGGAAGTACAAACAACTTCCACTAGTAAAGTTAAGTGTTTAAGTAAAGTACTCAAGTATTAGAAGTATTAAAACATAAGGGCGTAGACTGACCCCATCTCACTCACCAGTTTGGAGAGCTAGAGGAGCTAGAGGAGCAATTAGTGGGCAGCGAGTTCGAGGCCAAACAGCTAGATGAGAGCAGTATAAGCATTATGGAGGATGCTTAGTCAAGGTTTTCAGTAGCAGCAACATTTGGGATTAGTAGTTATTTACATTTATGATTATGAGTATAGACTGGAGATCAGATTGAGATTTTAAAGTTTTTTTTTAATTTGCCCACGTGTCAGGGCTTTGCTCTGAGCTACAAATGTGTGTTTTCAGTATTTTATCTATGAAAATTATATTTCCCGCTGCAATTTAAGATTTGAGTATTTTATTTATCAGGAGCATTTTAGTAAAAGTAGTACCCGTCCGGGTTAGGGTGTTTCAATAATTTTATTAAAGGACCTGATGACAAGATCCTGATCCGCAGTGTCTTTCTTCCTTGGTGGTCTCCCTCTATTGTTTCTGTAATTTTTAAAACTGGTTTGTAAAAAAAGATTAGTTTGAGGGTGTCTTTTGTAATTAGCAATGCATATAAAAGAGAAGAGCTGTGTTGTAAAGAAGGTATCAAATAACAGAAACAAATTGCTCTTTCCTTCCTTTGTACTTGTTCTTCCTTCTCCCTCTGCTCCCTCTTCTGTTCTCTTTCTTCTTCTCGATCTTTCTTTCTTATCCTCTAATTTCCTTGTGATTCTCCAATTCCAACCTTAACTCCGATTCTTGCTCCATCAATTCGCCGGGAAAGATTTAGGATTGTTACAACTTGGTATCGGAGCCTCATCTTGGCGAACTTTGACGACGGCAATCATAATTAGAGAATCCGCAACATATGGAGTTCTCGACGTCCAGTGTTGGTTTTGGGTGATTTTGCGGCTGCTCTTTGTCGATAATTTGAAAGTTTTGGATGGTACAAGGATCCTTTTGAGCAACAGGTTGGAGGATCCATTGATATTGAAAAGGAGGGTCCTTGTTTGGTAAGAAATCATGAGAAGGAACTAGTGGAGTTGGTCCAGAACTAGTGGAGTTGGTCCAGAACTTGGTGGAGCTAAGTGAATGTAAGTGTCGGAGTGGTCACACTGTCTCTTTGAAGAAAGTTGAGGGCTTGGATGAAAAGACTACACATGCCATATCAAAGCTAGAGGATGAATTTAAGCAGCTACTTTTGTCTTACAGCAAACATGTGAAACTTGTCGTCTTTTTGGGTGTCGTCCTGAATCTTTGCGACCTTCTCCTGGATGTTATGCGAACTATGGAGACCCTAATTTCCTTGGTCCTCACTTCCATAAGCATTCCGAGTAGCAGAACCGTAATGCAGAGGCTACATTCCTTCAGTTCCCATTATATGTGGCTCCCAAGACTAAGGCTTTTGGTGGGCTATCCATCGATTCCATTTTTGGTCCTCATAATTTCAATTTGGAGTTTTGATAGCGTCGTATTTGCACATGTTTTCACTCTTGTTTCCTGACCATTTTAGCTCGAATTTGTTGTTCTTTGGTCTATTTTACGCTAGGTTGTGTTGTTTTGTCGTATTTCAGGTCCTAGCAGGTAAAGAGGTGCATAGGCGCAAGTTTTGGGTCATTTGGAGGTCAGGAGGCGATTCAAGAAGCAAATTACGGGCAGCCCCTGCCCATTTACGGGCGTAATTGCTTCTGTCATGCCCGTAAATGCAATGTCGAGCCTAATTCTTCAGAATTCCCGTCGTAGAGAAAATTACGGGCAAGAATCAAAGTAACTACGGTCATAATTCCATAATTACTGGCAGTAATTGGGTAATTACGATCGTAATTCCCTTCCTCGGAGTTAAGTGAAACGCGCGTTTTGGGCGATTTACGGGCATACCATGATTACGACCGTAATTCGCCCAGAATCGGGTTTTTTAGGCATATTCGAGCCAAAGTAGAGAGATTCGACTTTTTGGAGAAAAAACAGAGTTTTAGAGAGAGAATGTGAGAAGAACAAACCCTAGGAGCTATTTGGAGTGGATTTCTCACCATTGAAGCCCAGATTGCATCCCCAGGAGTGAAGATTGACATCCCAGAGCAGATTCTTCCCATTGTTATTAGTATGACTGCTTTGTATTCTGTTTCCCTCTCTCTCTAAGGAGTAGAAATTTCTCTCACTTGGGTATGAAGAACCCTAGTTCCATGTGTTAGGAATCTTGATTGTAATTACGTTTGGATTGTGATATTGCTTGATTATAATCGATTGAAGTGTTTTGAATGAGTCAATTGAAGTCTGATAATCTTTTATTGATTTCTGCTGCCACCTGAGATAGATAGGATCTGATTAGGTTGTTAGAGCTTCTTCAATCGGTAGTAGTGAATCGATTATACGAGAGTTAGTCGATTCACTGCTTTGTACTGGAATCTAATTCCAGTAGTGGAGTTCTGTGTTCATTGGCTCAGCGTTCTATCCCGGTAAAGACTAGTCGTTTGCCGGGTAGTTTGACTAAGAGGGCTTGCTCAGCTTAAGAGATTCCAAGCTACTGTCGGATCTTCCGCAGTATAATCAGCAGTAAAGCAACCAAAAGTAATTACAACTGTGACCTAACTAAGGAGCTAGGGGGACTCACTCCCGAGTTGCTCTTCATTTGCTTTAGAAAACCGAATCATTTCCTGCTTTCTTACTACTTTTAGTTAAATCAACAATCAATCGACTTAGTTTTGTAGATAACAAATATACACGGAGTAGGCAGTAGATCTAGACCCCTGGTTGACAATTAGAGCTTGTCTGTTACTGCATTTCCGGACTGCGATTACACTTGGTCGCAGTTTGGTGTTGTGTTTTAGGGTGTCAAGTTTATAGAGAGTGTTTTGGAGTGCTGCAACACCAGTTGGGATTATAGGTATAAAGTTTATCCTACTTACTACGGGGTTTGGGTACTATTTCGTGGCAGAGGAAGGTGTCCTGGTTTCAAGGAGCCTTATAAAGATTGTGGTTACTTGGCTGGTGGGCTGTGATGTTTACAATGAGAATGTTGTTTGTTAATGCTATCCTATGTGTTGCAGTAGGCGGGAAAGCTCAAGCTGATTGTGTTTGTACGGAGATGCACATGCTGCATTATTTTCGTATGGAGCTGATGGTAATGCTTACAAGCTTTATAGTGAGGGCTCTCATTGTGATTTAGATGTATTTTTTGATAAAGACAGTCCTGGGTTGGAGGTGGGATTTCAGTCCAAGTCAGCTGGCATGTTTCCATTCTGGAGTCACTTGTTGGCACTTCCGCATTTTGCAGCTTGTTGGGATTCAACACAAGGCTTATTTGAGTTCTAGTTGAAGAAGCTTGATCTCCTACATTGCTTAGTTCATTTCATTGTTGTTTTAGTTCTTGCAATTGGGTTTCAGACTTGAGGAGAATTATGTTCTCAAGGGGTCGGGATTGTAACGTTTAGGACTGGTTTATAAAAAATGATTAGTTTGGGGGTGTCTTTTGTCATTAGCTATTCATATAAAAGAGAAGAGTTGTGTTGTAAAAAAAGAAATAGAATAACAGAAAACAAATTGGTCCTTCCTTCCTATGTACTTGTTCTTCCTCTGCTCCCTGTTCTATTCTTCCTTCTTCATCTGGATGGGATCCCTCTTCTTCTTCCTCGGCCCAGATCCGCCAGCGCCGTGCCGCTCCATTCGCCTCCATCAAGACACCCAGCTGCTCTCACTCGATCTTCTACTCTACCTCCCCGTCTCTTTACTTCTGGAAACCAACGAAAAGAAGGAACAAAATGGAAAGGCAGCGTCGTCGATCGATGCCAGCAGAGGCGGCAACGATGGTGCCGGAGGTTGAAGGTGAGTTTTGTCTCCAATTGCATGTTGATTGTTGATATTTAGGGGGGTTTTCAAGGATTTAGTTGGATTTCTGACCTAAAATTCCCTTCGTGTTTTCCTGGACTTGGAGTGGGGTTCGATCAAGGGGTAAAAGTAGAAGTCGCAAATGGATTGGATTGGTGGATTGATGGATTGGATTGGTAGATCTATGGATCAAATGGATTGGTGGATTCATGGATTGGATCAAGCGGATTGATGGATTATCCATGAATCCAAATGACATCCTCAACCAAGGACCAATATGTAAAATGTAAAAAGTTTAGGTACTAAAATGTCATAATGAAAAATTTTAGGTACCAAAACGTAATTTTCCAATGAAATTTTTCGTATAAAAAATTAAATTTTAGGTACCAAAATGTAAAAAATAAAAATTATAGGTACTAAACCGTAATTTGCCAATGATCCATGGATCCAATCCATGAATCCACCAATCCATTTGGATTTGGATTAAATGGATTGGATTTAAATGGATTGGATTAGGTGGATATTTTTAATGGACTGATAGATTGGATTGGTGGATTGGATTGAAATTGCCACCGCTAGGTAAAAGGGAGGAGTCAACGGACTCCAGCAAGCGTCGCCGATAATAGAGGTGGCCGCGGCGTGACTTTTTCTGGGCGGAGATAGAAAAAGAAGAGGGGTTGAGAAGAAACATCGGATGTGTTTTTTTTTTCTTGTTTTTTTTTCTTTTTTTTAATAATTAATTAATAAATAAGTTGATATGGTTGACCGGTTGATGTGGCATTTTTCGTTGAATGCCACGTTAAAATGTTTTTCCACATCAGCATAACATCTGCCAACTCACCATCATCTAACGGAATTGGTAACGAAGAGTTAGCATTTTGCTAATAATTTGTACTAGTTTTTTAGCCCGCGCTTCGCAGCTGTAAGAATTTGATCATATCTAAAATTTGGTCCACTCTCTTACTCATTTAATGATTAAGTCGAGTATATATATCTTGACAATTTTCTATGTAGTTTCTTAATTATATAGAAAACTTTAAGTGATACTTAAGAAATAACTACCCATTTATAAGTTTTAAATAATGTATTCATAATTTAAATAAAAGTTGGAGAACGAAGTTACCTAAATCTTTCATAATATGTGGTCTAATAATAAAATCAAGTTATGAAAAATATCATATTTGATTAAACTACAATGAAAAAGTTAACTTACCTTATAGATTTTGCATAAAGCAAATTGTTAATTATTATTTTTTAATTAATATATTTATAATATGTAAATCCTTTGTAATGTGAAATGAAAGAGTATGGAGATATTTGTCTAAAGGTGAAAGAGTTTATGGTGAAATTTAGTGCATGAGATTGAAAAAAATTTGATTAAACAACTGACTGTGAGAAAAAAGAAGTTATGGTAAAATTGAGTGTTGAGTACAAAAAAATCCGCTGAAAAATGAAAAAGTAGCGAGATAGCTGTCTAAAGGTAAATACAAAAATCTAGCGAAATGGATGCAAAAAATGAAAAATAAAAAAATATATAAACAGCTGACTATTGGCTAAAAGATGATAGTAAAATTGAGTATAAAGTATATAGATATCTTGAATTTTTTTTATGTAGTTTCTTAACTGTCACAGAAAACTTATATAGTACGGTTGTTTAAGTGATACTTCAGAAATAACTACAATTTATAAGTTTTAAATAATGTATTCATAATTTAAATAACAGTTGTAGAACAAAGTTACCTAAATCTTTCATAATATGTGGTCTAATAATAAAATCAAGTTATGAGAAATATCATATTTGATTAAACTACGATGAAAAAGTTAATTTACATTACAAATTTTGCATAATGCAAATTGTTAATTATAGTTTTTACTTAATATATTTATTATATGTAAATCCAAGTATGGAGATATTTGTCTAAGGTAAAATAGTTTATGGTGAAATTGGGTGCAGAAAAAATATTTGATTAAACAACTGACTGTGAGAAAAAAAGAGCTTATGGTAAAATTGAGTGTTGAGTAAAAAAATCTGTTGAAAAATGAAAAAGTATTGAGATAGCGGTCTAAAGATAAATACAAAATTCTAGTGAATTTGGATGAAAAAATGAAAAATAAAAGACTACATAAACAATTGACTATTGGCTAAAAGATGAAAATAAAATTAAGTGTAGAGTATAAAAAATCCAGTAGCTATTGAATGTGCGAAAATCTCATTAACAACTGATTGTAGGAAAAAAAAAAGTTAATATAAAATTGGTCAAATCAAATATAGAGTATAAAATACATAACAACAATTATAGGTTGGGTTGTTAATAATTAGTGGCCGGTGATGTATGTTAGCTTTATTTAATCCATATTATATTGGGCATTAACAACTGATTGTAGAAAAAAAAATTTACTGTGAAATTGGTCAAATCAGATATAGAGTATAAAAACATAACAACAATTTTAGGTTGGGTTGTTAATAATTAGTGGCCGGTGATATATGTTAGCTTTATTTAATCCATATTATATTGGGTTGATTTTTATGAGGAAAGAAGGAGATGCTATAAATGAGCCCACGAAAAAAAACCCTCTCATGAACAGTAACCCCATGTTTTGAGCTATAAAATCGTAAGGAACAGTGCCTGATACTTGCACTTTTAATTAATTATTATAATATGTAAATCCTTTGTAATGTGAAATGAAAGAGTATGGAGATATTTGTCTAAAGGTGAAAGAGTTTATGGTGAAATTTAGTGCATGAGATTGAAAAAAATTTGATTAAACAACTGACTGTGAGAAAAAAGAAGTTATGGTAAAATTGAGTGTTGAGTACAAAAAAATCCGCTGAAAAATGAAAAAGTAGCGAGATAGCTGTCTAAAGGTGAATACAAAAATCTAGTGAAATGGATGCAAAAAATGAAAAATAAAAAAATATATAAACAGCTGACTATTGGCTAAAAGATGATAGTAAAATTGAGTATAAAGTATATAGATATCTTGAATTTTTTTTTATGTAGTTTCTTAACTGTCACAGAAAACTTATATAGTACGGTTGTTTAAGTGATACTTCAGAAATAACTACAATTTATAAGTTTTAAATAATGTATTCATAATTTAAATAACAGTTGTAGAACAAAGTTACCTAAATCTTTCATAATATGTGGTCTAATAATAAAATCAAGTTATGAGAAATATCATATTTGATTAAACTACAATGAAAAAGGTAATTTACATTACAAATTTTGCATAATGCAAATTGTTAATTATAGTTTTTACTTAATATATTTATTATATGTAAATCCAAGTATGGAGATATTTGTCTAAGGTAAAATAGTTTATGGTGAAATTGGGTGCAGAAAAAATATTTGATTAAACAACTGACTGTGAGAAAAAAAGAGCTTATGGTGAAATTGAGTGTTGAGTAAAAAAAATCTGTTGAAAAATGAAAAAGTATTGAGATAGCGGTCTAAAGATAAATACAAAATTCTAGTGAATTTGGATGAAAAAATGAAAAATAAAAAACTACATAAACAATTGACTATTGGCTAAAAGATGAAAATAAAATTAAGTGTAGAGTATAAAAAATCCAGTAGCTATTGAATGTGCGAAAATCTCATTAACAACTGATTGTAGGAAAAAAAAAGTTACTATAAAATTGGTCAAATCAAATATAGAGTATAAAATACATAACAACAATTATATGTTGGGTTGTTAATAATTAGTGGCCGGTGATGTATGTTAGCTTTATTTAATCCATATTATATTGGGCATTAACAACTGATTGTAGCAAAAAAAAAATTTACTATGAAATTGGTCAAATCAGATATAGAGTATAAAAACATAACAACAATTATAGGTTGGGTTGTTAATAATTAGTGGCCGGTGATATATGTTAGCTTTATTTAATCCATATTATATTGGGTTGATTTTTATGAGGAAAGAAGGAGATGCTATAAATGAGCCCACGAAAAAAAACCCTCTGATGAACAGTAACCCCATGTTTTGAGCTATAAAATCGTAAGGAACAGTGCCTAATACTTGCACTTTTAATTAATTGATTTCGATAGTTGTCGCTATAATTCCCCTCTGCTTAATAGTTGTGGCAAATATATTGTATTTACCCAAAGCTTAAACACGGTTTATAGGCAGACTTTGAAGAATAATGATTTATTTCTTAGTTCTTTGAGCTTTTAGCTTGTGAATTGCACTCTGTATCATACGAGTATTCCCTTTGATTGTGGTCGAGCTTCTACCATATATTGATAGTGCCTTCTCCTAGATGTGAGATTGTACAATCCCTAGTTTTAGGGACTTTTTCCAGAAATACTACTGTTTAAAAAAAGAATTCCAAAAATACCAGCCAACCCCAAAAAATTCCAACAATACCACCTTTTTCAAAAACCGGCACCCCACCCTGCGGTTTACACGAAAACCGCTTGTCGGGGGTGCGGTTTTCTATGCAAACCGCGGGCCTAGGGGGCGGTTATAAAAAAAAAATTGGACCAAACCGCTGGGTGGGGTGGCGGTTTGGCCCAATACCGCCACCCCTCCCAGCGGTTTGGCCCAATTTTTTTTTTTTCCGATCAACTCCTAACTTCGGACGAAACTTCAAACGAACGTAACTTTGCACTCGGGTATCCGATTGTAGCGATATTTTTTTTCGTTTCGCATAACTTTTCAAGATCTACAACTTTTACTTGGATGGAATTTTCAAAACAGGAACTATTTGTGGATATACGGAACCTTGAGAATAACTTTATCTTAACTTTTCACAAATCCATGTACATTTTGAAATTATGATTATATTAAAAGTTTTAGATTTTGAAAAGTTATGCGGAATAAAAAAAAATCATAATATTCGGATTTTGGAGCACAAAGTTATGGCCGCCCACAGTTTGACGAAATCAAAAAAAGGCACGTTTGGTCCAAATTTTTTTTTTATAACCGCCCCCTAGGCCCGCGGTTTGCATTGAAAACCGCACCCCCGACAAGCGGTTTTCGTGTAAATCGCAGGGTGGGTGGTGGTTTTTGAAAAAGGGTGGTATTTTTGGAATTTTTTGGGGTTTGGTGGTATTTTTGAATTTTTTTTTGAACAGTGGTACTTTTGGATTTTTTCCTAGTTTTAGTTTCTGTTCATGGTTGTTCTACCAATGTGGAAATTACAGGGAGCAACTAAAGGTATCACTAGCCACATATCAATTCGTTGATAATGCAACTATATGGTGAGAGTAGGTACAACTCAAAAGTAGAAGAAATATGCAGCTGAATGTGACAACCTGGGCTAAATTGAGTGGGCTCATGAGAGAGAGATTCGTGCCAGGGTACTATCAATGAGAACTCTTTGATTCGTTGCAAGGGATTCGACAAGGAGCACAATTTGTTATTTCGGAGAGCTTGATGAGAGTAGAGTGAGATAAGATAAAGAAGCTGCAATTTCTCAAATTCCACATGGCCTCAATCGGGAAATTAGGCACGAAGTTAACCTTGGTCAATTTGTGGAGCTGGAGGAAGTGGTTGACCTAGCCATTAAGTTGGAGAAGCAGCCAAAGGTCACCACTGCAAGAATATTTCCATTCAACTAAACCAATTGCAGAGAACATGGGCGAGACTACTATGAACCAACTCGGACAAGGAGTCAAACCAGCATATAGAAATCAGGTTCCATTCATTCAAGCCAAACCAGAAGGATCACCGGTAATCCAATGCTTCAAGTTTATGGGCAATGGTAACAAAGCAAATCAGTGCCCCCAATAAGAAACTCTAGTTTTGCAGGATAGAGAATACTATTCCGAGGAGGAGGATGAAGAAAGCCAATGCGGACAAGAATCGATTTTGGTGATGATGGCGACGTTGATGAGCACATCACTACTGAAGCCCCTCCAATAGATAAGTTTCTTGGAGTCAATCGTACTTGAAGCTCTAGCTGACTAAGAACAACGAGATCATCTGTTTCATATCGGTTATTAGATGGATGGAAAGTTGTTGTCTGTGGTAATCGATGGCGGTAGCTGAACCAATGTAGTAAGTTTGCAGCCAAGAAACTGAGATGGAGTACCATTAAGCATCCACGGGCTTACAATCTTCACTAGTTGAACATCATATACGAGGATAGTAACTGTATTAATACACATTGAATTACTTTTATGTGTTATTTTTATTTATTTTTAAATAAAAGTCTGGCATCACTGATGAAATATTAATAATAATTTAGTAATGAATAAAAAATATACATAATAAATTATCTATTCAATCCTTCTAAAACATGAGTATTAACCTTGCAACAAGTTAGCTTTCTCAGTCTTTTAACCACGTTTGAATATAATGGAGACTCCAACTTCCGGGAGCAGATCCGGTGAGTAACCTTGTGGTAAGTAACCATGAGTAATCTGTCCACATCAGCATGACATCAGCATCCTCTCTCTTCTGGAAAGCATTTAATTTTCCCCTCTTTAATCTTTGACAGATGATTTCTCACTCATTTTAAGTCGAAATTTAATTTTTTTTGTACAGTTAGATCAGATTAATTGTGCTCTTCAAAATGATATCCACTTTAATATATTTTTCGAACAAAAAAAATTGAGCCAATTTTTACCAGTCTATACCATATGGTATTGACTAGTATTGAAATAAAAGCATACCTATGGTTTGAAAAAAGTACCATGGTGGTATGAACAAACCAAAACTGTAGGATGGTTGAATACATGATAGTAGAAATATATTAATTGTCATTTACGACTTTTAACATTGTATACCACAAGATACCACCTCGTACTAGGGTGGTATTGTATGGTATTGTTTGGTCCTGTAATTTGTTCACCCATAAATTTGTAGATCCAATAGATCATGATGAGCTCGTCCCTTCTGTGCAAACATTTTCAAAAACGAATTAAAAACGAAGAAGATACCATACAATACCACCCCGTACCAGGGTGGTATTGTATGGTATTGTGTGGTATTTTTTGGTCCTGTAATTTGTTTACCCAGAAATTTGTAGATCCAATATATCATGATGAACTCGTCCCTTCTGTGCAAACGTTTTCAAAAACGAATTAAAAATGAAGAAAATACCATATGGTATGTAGTTGGTACCGAGAGGCCAGAATTTTTTGTTCTAAAAAAATATTGAAAATTGATCTCATTTTGTAGAGCACGATGAACTCGTTCAACCTGTGCAAAAAAAATTAAAATCCGAGTTAAAACGAAAAAGATATGAGTCGATGAAGAAAGATAGAGAAAATAAAAATTATCTTTAATTCTCCATCTTTAGATCTGGATTTTCTAAATGAAGGGTCCAGATTTGGTTATTGATGGATGCATAACCCATGGTTATGCACCCTATCTTGAGCCCCAACTTCCTCCCAATCCGCTGATTGAAGATGTGGTCCAAAACTCATCCATTCAGATAGCCTTCATTGGGGAAAAAATGCTAGGCGGGGAAGCTCTCCCCTCCCTCCTTCGACTGGGGATTGTGAATCTCATCAACACCATGCTGGCTTCAATCATCTTGTGCTGCCTGCGCAATCAACAGCTGTTTAACGAAGGCGAGGTCAAGGTGACGGGAGATCGGGAGATGGGCTTCTCGGTGGAAAACAGACGTCGGTCGATGACCATTTCCTATGGCCGGCTTTCCATAGCGACTCGGAGACCGACCAGTCAAAGAAGGAAACGTAAACTCGAAATCTACCGAGTTAATGATGATGGTATGACTGCCAATGTGGAAAAGCGTCGACGGTTCACAAAAGTGATCGTCAGGTCGTTCAGGATCCCTACAATGGATGATTTTGACTTAGAAGAGAAAGAGGAGTTGGTATTCAAACAAACCGAAATGGTTGCCAAAGATAGAATGGCAATCGGGAATACCTCTCTTCCCATTTAGATGGAGGAGTGTAAACAACCTCCGTCTCATGATGGTGTGAATCGACGGGCGGTGGGGGACTCAGTTTCCGGCGACCGGAAATCTACAGTCACAGACGGGTGGATAGACACCCCATCTAACCGTCCGCAAATCGATAGCGAGAGAATCTCGCCGATTTCGTTCTCAGAGATTTTCGGGATGCTCCAAATTTTGGAATCGATCCCGTTATCTTGGCAACCGAACCCTAATCCTAAGGAGCCGTATGGCGAGGCAGATAATGTTGCTCTCGCTCTTCACGGCTGGACCCCCGAAACAGATGGGATTAGGAAGTATAAGAGTTTCTTATTAAACAAATCACCGGCTGTTATTATGCTGAATAATAATATACCTTTATCCAGGATATTGGCCGTTGCTTTCAAATCTCCCACTTGTATTGGGACTCCAAAAAACCTAAACCGGCTGGAGAGAGGTAAAAGCCCCGTGGGTTTTGGCTTCCTTTTTAACTCGCGAACGAAGGCTGCTTGCCCCCAAGTGATTAATCACACACGTGCAAGGAATACTTCACCAAGCGAGCAGGAGCAAAATTCGAGTGGTGCCCTCCCAGATCAGGTACCACTTCCAATTTAGTGTTAAGTAAACCTTTATCATGTGCATGGTCCGGCTTTACAATGGCTTTCCCCATGCATGATATTGGCTGATTGTTTCAGCAACTTTCTTCCAATTATGGGAGTGAGGGAGGGGATTGTTTGACAACTCTTGAAGTGAATTGGAATGATAATCCCTGTGATGAATCTCTTCTTCAGGTTCCCGCCATGGCTCACATTGCTTCCGACCAGGTGGTCCAATTTTCCATGGAAGAGGTTCAGTCCAAGAGGTATCGAGCGGCCCATTCGCTGCTGGGAAGGGTGTTCACAGAAGCTAGGATCGCGACCACGGAACTTCGTGAGGCGGTGCTCGACCCATGGCTAATCCAGGGTCGCCTGCGGGTGGTGCTCGCGAAGCACGGGCTGGTTGAGTTCATGCTTCCCAGTGAGGAAGCTAAAATGTGGGTGCTAAAGCGATCCCCATGGGTGATCAATGATAAGATCCTCCACCTCTGTCAATGGACTCCGGTAAACACCAAGCAAATCTATGATGACCTTGCTATTGTCCCCTTTTGGCTACAATTGTGGGACGTGAAGGAAGACTGTTGCACTCAACAGTTTGGAAGGAAAATGGTGAATGCCACCATTGGGAAGGTGCCGGAGTCCGGGGTTTTTGCTTGTCAAGAGACGGGCAGCTGGTTTGTGAAAGTCAAAGCCCTAATTGATTTCACCAAACCACTCCGGTCTCAAATCGTGGCAGTAAACGATGATACAGGCGACTTTTGGGTGAGCCTAAAGTACGAGTACCTTCCCAGTTTTTGCTACCGATGTGGAAGGGTGGGGCACTCTCTCAGAGCCTGTACTTTCGAGCCTCCAACCAGGCAAGAGAAGTTCGGTCCTCACATGACTACGAAGAAGCTCGGTACTCGAATTTATGATAATGAGGATCAGAAAGAACCTTTCCCCAGAGGCAAAAACTCGGTCTGGATTAATAAGAACATCCACGAGCAAAAACATGACAGGATAGGGGCGATGCCCACGAAGGCTCATGGTGTGATGATGGGGGAGGAATACACTGGGGCAGCTCGGCCTATGCTTCAAGCGGTCCGTGCAGTCTTGTCGCCACAAAGGGGGCCACGTCACAGTAGTCCCCGCGGATTCAAGATCCCTCGGTCGCCACATATCAAATTTGGTAAAAACCCGGGAGCCACCCTGATGCCAGCTGCTGCCACGAGGGCTCACCAACGAGGTCAGGCCCACTCGCGTCGGGGGGAGCACTCTAATACCGAGGCTGATGTGCAGCCGGTGCCTTTCTCTCGACAGGGGTTGAGGTTGGGGGAGGCAATCGTGGAAGAGGATCGAGCTGGGGAGATGGACATGGACGGACAGGATATGGAGCCAGTTTTGGAAATGAATACCAGGATGGAGCCCCGACATCGTCGTCTCCTTCTCGATGACTCGGATGATGAAATCATCACTCCAATGGTTCCTACTCCGGGCGAGAAGGTGGAAATTGCAGAGAAGAAGAAGGGTCGGCGGTTGGTTAAGGTGGGAGCAAGTCTTGCTGTGGATACCTCAGCTCCACCAATCGCGCCATCGCCCTCTGCTAAGGCGAAAAGGACATCTCAAAATCCGATGAAGACAACGGCTACAAGGACGAAGGCTTCCCAAAAAATTAAGGGGAAGGCTGGCCAAGATACTGTTGGGGGGTCTGAGGTCAAGGGAGGGACAAGGCCCTCGAAGCCAAGAGGGAAAGCTTCCTCTGTGAGCAAGGCTGTCCAGGAAAATACTTCCCAGGAAGGACAGCGGGCATTGAAAGCAAAAGGGAAGGCGAGCTTGGAGAAAATTGTTGCTGATCGGGTGGAATCGGAGACCTCTCAATCTGAGGGGGAGGGTCAACAGTTCGAAATAAAGAAGCGCCCGACCCTGGAGGCTCCGGTCCAGCAGGTTCAAACGGGGCAAGTGCGTCAAGTAGTGGCTGCTTTTGAGGCCAATATGGCTCTTAATGAAGATAAAGAGCCTTTGGTTACTGGTGATGGGGAAATGATAATGAAATTGAATGAATATGGGTCCAATTTGGAGGATGGGACCAGGAAACGTGCTCTGGAAGAGGTGTAAGGGGAGATTGAGGAGGCACCCACCCCCAAAAAACAATTTGTCGAAGAAGAGCAGGGTACTGTTATGGTGGAGGAAGCCAGCCAAAAGTGGCCCCAAGAAGATAAATGAGGGTTTTGGGCTGGAATGTGAGAGGAATTGGACCATCCCACACATTCCAGACAGCAGTAGGTTTAGTTCGTTCTAATAAACCGGACCTTGTTTTCTTTTTTGAAACAAGATCGTGCCAGAGAGTAGTTTCTCGCCGTATGCGAGGTTTAGGGTTTGATTCGAGTCAATGTTTCTTTGTTGATGCTATTGATGGTTCTGGTGGTCTTGTAGTAGCTTGGTCCCCTGAAGTTGAGGCTTCAGTGTTTTTTCATTCTAGTTTTTGCAACTGTACTCGGATTAATGAGAATGGTTTTTCGTATGTGGCGGTTTGCGTTTATTTGAGTTGCAATATTGCGATTCAGGCTTTTCAATTGACCCATTTGCGCGAGCTTTGTGAGGATCTGGTTGAGCCCTTCGTGATTTTAGGCAATTTTAACGCAACTTTGTGCGAAAATGAAAAAGATGGAGGGAATCCTTGGAATGCCTCCCAATCGCTAGACTTCAGGAACTTTGTCCAAATGTTAGGGTTGCATGATCCGGGGTTCCAAGGTGACCCTTTCACCTGGACTAATAAACGTATGGGTTTGGCCTGTATTCGTGCTAGGCTTGATAGGGCTTTTTGTTCTCAGAGCTGGATATATCATTATCCAGAAACTCTAGTTAAGCACTTCACGAATCAGGGGTCGGACCATAGAGCTCTGCTCCTCTCGGACAAGCCCTATGCGCGGAATTGTCGCCCTCTTTTTCGACTCGATGCTCGTTGGGAAAATAACCCCAAAGTTAAGGCCATGGTGGATTATGTTTGGCACGAGAACGTCCCGGGTACCCCTATGTTCCAATTATGGGAAAAGTTAAAGAAACTTTGCCACTTGCTGTATGATTGGAGTAGAGCTGGTACCACTAATTCTCTGTGAAATATTCATACTTTGCAAGGTGAGATAGATCGGTTAAAAACCGTGCACCCTATTGATTGGCATGAGGTGTCCCGTTTGGAAACTGAGCTGAGTAGACAATGGGAGGCTGAGGAAGTATATTGGCAGCAAAAATCCCGTGTTACTTGGGTTAAAAAAAGGGGATAAAAATTCGGCGTATTTCCACACGGTCACGAGAGCTCGCCGTAAGCGAAATTTTGTGAATGGGCTTCTTAATGAGGATGGGGAATGGATCACGGAGGAGCGTGGAAAGGCTGGTATTGCTACAAATTTTTATCGTTCCCTATTCACATCAGAAAATCATATTGGGAATATGCACGAAAGAGTGGCCGCTCTCCCCATTGAACCCTGTGTTACCCCAGAAATGAATGCGAATCTCACGACTGAAGTGCTTCCTAAAGAGATACGGGACACCATCTTCTCTTTGGGATCGAAGCAGGCGCCAGGGTCGGACGGGTTTACGGGGAAGTTCTTCAAAGCTTATTGGGGTATAGTTGGGGAATCCGTGATTCGAGCGGTGCGCTCGTTTTTTGAAACTAGTAGGATGCTCCGAAGCTTCAACCATACCTGGTTGATTTTGATTCCGAAGGTGGATCAAGTTGAGTCAATGCGCCAGTTGCGTCCTATCAGCCTCTGCCAATTTGTGTATAAGGTGATTACTAAAATCATGGCAGGGAGGCTCGCTGATATATTGCCCCAGATTGTGTCTGATGGACAGAATGCTTTTATTCGAGAGAGGCAAATAGTGGATAACATTCTCTTAGGGCATGAGTTAATGCATTACCTAAAAATCAAAACCCGTGGGAAGAAGGGATATATGGCTCTAAAGGTTGACATGGAAAAGGCCTATGATAGAGTCGAATGACCCTTTATTTTACGGGTTTTGGAAAAAATGGGATTTAACTCGGTCTGGCGAGGATGGATCCAGGAATGCCTTCAATCTACATCATTTTCGGTCCTCATGAATGGGACACTAGCTGGGTTTTTTTCCCCTTCCCGAGGGCTCAGACAGGGTGATCCGCTCTCTCCCCTTCTCTTTGTCCTCTATACCGAAGGATTTGCGGCTCTCCTTCGTCAAGCCATCTCGGAAGGAAAACTACAAGGTGTCAAAGTGGCCCCTCGTGCACCTCGTATCTCTCATTTGTTCTTTGCTGATGATTCTTACCTTTTTCTTCGAGCTTCCCTCCAAGAATGTGAGAATTTGATTGAAGTCCTAAATGAATATGAGGAGATGAGTGGCCAGAGGGTGAATCTGGATAAATCGGCGGTGTGCTTCTGTAAAAATATTGCGCTAGCGGACCAGGAATTCTTGGCTGCAATTTTAGGGGTAGGGGCTGTGGGTGTCCACGATAAGTATTTGGGTCTCCCATCTCTGATAGCCCGGTCAAAAATGGATACTTTCCGCTACCTGGAGGAGAAACTTCTGGCTAGACTGCAGGGGTGGAAGAGGCGAACATTGTCGTGGGCGGCGAAGGAAACATTGATTAAATCAGTGGCATTAGCTCTGCCTCTTCATATTATGTCCTGTTTTAAGTTACCCCTGGCTCTGTGTTGCCTACTTGACAAGTATGTAGCCCGATTTTGGTGAGGAGTGGAAGAAGGAAAATCTAAGATCCGTTGGATTTCTTGGAGAAATTTATGCACCAGTAAACATGAAGGGGGCATGGGGTTTCGCCGTTTTGAGTTCTTTAATCAAGGTTTGCTGGCTAAAATTGGTTGGCGTATACTTGAGGAACCCCAGTCCCTTATTGCCCAAGTGTATAAAGGGAAATATTCCCCAATGGGACGTTTCTCACTGCTTAGGCCAGGTCTCGTCCCTCTTGGGGGTGGCAGAGTATCCTCTTTGGCCGTCAATTGTTGGAATCTGGGTTGCGATGGCAAATCGGGAATGTTCAAAAGGCTTCTCTGCTAATGTCCAGTTGGATTCCCCAGCAGCATCCCCGTCCTCCAGTGTATAACCCATGCGTGGTTCCTGGTGGGGAGGGGTTGAAGGTTGAAGAGGTCATCCATCCAGGGGAGGGACGATGGAATGATCAAAAACTCAGTCAATGGTTTGACCCAGAAACCTGTAGAGCCATTAAGACCATCCCTTTGTCGCGTCTGAATATTGAGGATAAATTAATATGGCATCCGACTTCTGATGGAATTTTCTCTGTTAAGTTTGCGTACTACGTCGTGGTGAATCTGGATCGTCAGAAAGGTCGGTGGAAGGCCTTGGCTAGTTGGATGGATAAACCAAGTTGGATCAAGCTGTGGGAGGCGGATATCCCTCCAAAGCTTAGGGTGTTTGTCTGGCAAATCTTTCATAGAATTCTTCCTACAACGGAAGCGTTGCGTGAAAAGGAGGTGGATGTCTTGCCTCGTTGTCCGGTGTGCTGGGACGCATCGAAAACTCTGGAGCATATGTTCTTGGAGTGTCCGGTGGCTCGTGCATTGTGGGATTATTCTGGGCTAGCCCATCTGGGTGAAGGTTTGCCTCGCCATACGTTCCCACTTTTTTTGAGGAAATTGCTGGCAGTGGTGCTAAGGTGATAATTGAAAAGATTCTCCGGAAGGATATTCGGGATAGTCATATAGGGGTGATTCTGGAGGAGATAGTCAATTCTTTTGCTTCAAACTTGGGTTTCTCCGTACGATTTGTAGGTCGTCGAAACAATAGGGTAGCTCATTTAGTAGCTAGACATGCCCTGTCTTTGTTCCCGACTGCATGTCGTTCTTTTGATTTCCAGACCTGGCTGTATTCCAGGATGTAATGATCTATTTGATTCAATCTATTGATTATCTTTTGTCAAAAAAAAAAAAAACCTTGCAACAAGTTTAATAGGTGAAATTTTAAAAATAAGATTGTTAAGTTATATTTTATTATATTGTTTGTTGTTGAGTGTTAACTAAGTTATTAACTATGTGCATTGAAGTGTGAAATTACTACAATATTGGTATTTATTCATTATTTATTAAAAATACTATGTTTACTTCCAATGCCTAGGCACACTTAGGCAACGTTTAGGCGAGCTAGATGCCAGGTAGAGGTTCAACGGCCGCCTTGTGCCTAGCACTTTCATTAACCTTTCTTATTACACTAACAAGACCTAGTAAATCATTAAATAAAAAAAGATAAAACCATTTTCAACACGAATTCAAAACACATAATCCTAAGACATCCATTAATCTATAAAAAAGTACATGCTGCATAAATCATTCATCGCTAACTCCAACTCATGTACTATTCAGCAATAAATAACTAAACATAATCATTCATCGCGTTTTCTCTAACTGCCACTCAGGGATTCAAATTCCCCGTCCACCCATATTGCCACGTCATCACTTGCTTTCCTCCAATCAAAACCCGCCTAATTTACTACACAGAGAGTTAAAAAAAACGGGAACCCTTCTCCCTTTTCGTCTAATTCAAAAAAATAAAAAATAAACGGGAAACCCTTCTTCCTTTCCCCTTAAACCGTTCCACCTACCCTATTTTTTCTCATTCTATTTATTTTACCTGATTAATTTTATCGCACCCCAATTTCCTTCATTATATATGACCATATGGGTCTTTGAATTATTAAAAACATATACATTCTTTTTCACTTAAACTGTTCCATGTCCCCTATTTTCCTCAATTTTTCCATTTATCTTATTCTTTTTTCCTGTCACCCCATTTACTTCCATATATACAGGTCTCTGATTCTTATCAAAAACAAAAACAAGAAACTAACATATATTCTATTTATCCATTTATCTACAAAATACAGAATGATTTTTTTTTTTGAATATTTGCATAGCACTTTTAAATTATCTTATGTATATATATTGATAAATAGAATACAAAAACATAAAACATAAAAATGAAAAAAATTTACCTGCCCAACGGGCAGGGTCAAAGCTAGTATATAGAGGGGACAAGTGAACGAGCGAAGGGTGAATGGAGGGAAAGAAAGTAGTGTTTGGTTTTAGTATTCACTCAATTACAATTCATCTCTA